CATGCCTTGCAGTGCCACTTTCCCTTGCTTTATTATTTTCTCAGTTAGTTTTTCAGTTTGCCAGCAGACTGCTGGCAAGTCTGCCTTCCCAGAGGAGACCGTTCTCTGCTTCCATCAGTACTGGGTAGAAGCCCTAGATTCCCCCTTCTCAGCTTCATGAAACCAAACCCTGAGGAGCACTCTGGACCATCAAAGTCTGCATCACCTTGAGCTTGATGCTCACTCTTCAGTTTCACACTTACTTTTCAACCTCAGGGGACATACCCGTGGAAATAGTTCTCACAAGCTCCACCACAAGCCTAGGGGACTCCCATCAAGGCATAGGACAAGAGTGAGCAAAGATTTCTCTCTTTCCAAAAGCAGCATGCAGCACACAAGCTGCCCTTCTGCAGGAGGAGCAGTTAAAAACCCTGTGCAGACCATACAGGGATGCAGTGAGGTCCCTTCTCTCAGTGCAACTAGAGTGTAATGAAGGAGAGACACAGCCCAGCCTGACCTTCTAATGCAGTATTTCACTGCTGAGATACGTCCAAATGTTAGGGCTGTAAAGAGCCTGTTGTGAACTTAGGCATGAAGAGAAAAAACAGACTACATTTATTCTGATAAAGAGAATAAGCAACCTGAATTTGGCAAGAAGCCACAAAGAGCAACCTCTCAGTTTGATAAAGTGTGAACTAACCATCAGTTGTAAGGTGGATAGTTATTCTTCAAAAATAGGTTCACGTGGGCAAAGCACATTCCTCAAAAGTTTCCTCTGCAGGTAACAGTTATTTGGACCTCAAGTGTGCTTGACAATCCTTATCCAACAGTATCTGCACACTTCTCCAGAGTTAAACTAGCCAAGCTTAAAGAAAAAAACCTTGAGTAAAACTCTTACTCAGGGCCTTGACAAGCTTCAAGAAAATATCATGTCCAGACTTAAGTGTTGAGGCTAAATTCTTACCTAGTTCTGACCATCTGCAACAGAATTAAGGACTACAATTAACTGGATCAGTAYGGGGCCTATCAAAGCCTTTGCTTTGATCTCTTCATCAAAGCTTGATACCTCAAGCTCCACAAGAACTTTCCTACTAGGAGCTCAAAGGAAAGATGCRCAGTAGTCCCCTTCCAGGGCACAAGGTGGGAATCTCTTCCTCCTGAGGGGTTTCATCACCAGCTCATGATCAGCAGGTGATGGGTGCCTCAAAGGAGACCATCTCTCACTCCCGGACGTACAAAGACACCAGCAACAACCGTGGGATTAGGCTCACCCACAATAATCTTCACCATTCCCATCAGGGCAGTGGCTGTTGTTATGCTGAGACAACTAGGACTTGCACCTCCAAAGGGCTTCCAGGTWGGACTATATGGCCTCATTCTCCATTTGCTCATTTATATAAACACACCAGCCCACYTTATATCCATCAAATACCATCAGGGAAGATTTCACAGCCACATTACCAAGTCCTGCACAAGCAACTTAATAAAACCTTCCTCTATATAAAACTTTGTGTTGTATTCTGTATTTCTGGACACCTTATTGAAGACTTGCTCACAGTAATGTGTATTTCTACTACTGATTGTTGATCTCTTTATAAGAAATCAGTAGATCAACAGTTTTAACCAAGCTTCTTCAAGAGAGAACACACTACTGTCAACATCGGGGAATTTCACACTCATCACTCGCCAAAACACAAGGTGCAAGAAACAGGTATTAACACTACAGGACTTCGGTCTTCAGATTCTTGGACAGGTTTGAAAAGAACTGCCAGAACTCTGAAAGGCATCTCTGTAGCTCTCTGAAGAGCACAGTCTTCCTCTATGGAGCCACAAGATCGTCTAATCATTTTTGAACCTGCAAACTTTTAACATTCCCAACTTAGGATTCAAACTTTTTAAAAGTGTTCTGAAAAAAATACCTTCTTTTGCTCCTGCAAGCTTTAAAGCAATCTAGCTGTCAGCTTTGCTAGCCCTTTCTAGACTTGGCATTATGAGGTACTGAACAAAYTGCTCATTCTTGCCACAATAGTCAAGATTTTACAGACCTCTACCACATCCCCAGTCAATTATCCTTTTGTCCACCTGAATCAGTTGAGTCTATTTAGCCACTCATCACTGAGAAGCTCTCAAAGAAGTCCTCCTCTTGATCATCTCCAGATGATGTCTCTTGTTTCCTCTCTGGAGARGATGTCTCTCAAGAGACATCTCTGGAAGAATAGATGAGAACTGTACACAGTAYTTAGTTGCAGTCAGCACTGTAGACTAGTGCTGTCATAGTCTTTTCTTGATTAACTTCTAACCTTCCCCTTTCTTTGCATTGAGAATGATCATTGGCCTAAAGGTTTTTAAGGAGTTATCCAATCAAGCTAAGTATCTTTTCTGGGTGACACCACTCAGCCCAGAGACCCCATCCCTTGTCTGCTGGAGAGGAATGATCCCAGTTCCCATAGGGATGGGGAATCCCAYGTGCTGGGTAGCAACCCAGACACTAACAGCAAGAGGTCCCTCTCYAGTATTTATTTCCCCAACTAACTTAGTGTACAAGCCTCCCTACTGCACCATTCACCCACTCTGTAGTCATCAGACAGCACAGACGGAAACTGCAAGAGTTTGGGGGGATTCACAGATTCACAGAATATTTAAGGTTGGAAGGGACCTCTRSAGATCATCTAGTCCAACCTTCCTGCTCAAGCAGGSACACCYASAGCATGTGRCAMAGGGTGGCATCCAGGCGGGTTTTGAAAACCTCCAGAGTAGGAGACTTTTAGTCTCCTCCAAGATCCTTAGTAGGATCTTGCAAGGTTTGTTGTACAACCAGGAAATCTGCACTCCTCAGACACAAAAAGCCCCATTCACGTCAGGGCTTCTCAGTTCCCAGCCAGACGACCCTTCACACCCTGCAAAACCTAAACAGCCTTTTCCAAGACCCCCTCCCCGACTGCCTGAGAGAGGGGGTGTCGAGAGAGAGCACCCCGGGGCCTGCACATGGACACAGGGACTCTCCACACAGCCAGGGCTGCCTCGAGCACCAGGCTCAGCCCTGCCGAGAGCCTTAGCCCAAGGCAATCCGCATACGGGGGATCTCTCGGAGCCACGGGCCGAAACAGCCTGCAGGTGACAGGAAAAGGGGCAAAGGTGTTCAAGACAGGTAACTTTAATAGAAACCTGCTCACATTCAACCAAAAGATTCACTGAAAGCTACACGTGACCTGAAAACATTGCTTTCAGCAAATGTGTGCTTTCTGATTGAAGGAAATACACATTCCTTTGGAAAGTCTCCAGCCAGCACAAYATTCAGACACAAACCCTGTCCTGCTTATATGGGAAAGGACTTCTCCTACTCTGCCCCTCTACGAAGCCATAAATTAGTGCCATATAAGCATAAGAGACAAGTATATACCATGAAGACGCTTTTATTCTAGAAAGAAACCATCTTTTCAGATTAYCTTAAATTAAATGAGGCAAAAAATGATTCAGTATACAACAGAAAAAGAAAAAGCTGTTTGGAACATGAAGAATTATACCAATATAAATCACCCATGCTACATTTTGCTTAATATTCAATGCATGAAATAGGGTTTTCACTCATCCTTCCAATAAGTTAGCAAATGTACAAGCAACAATGTTTTTGAAAGTCCTGTTGTACCATTTCCACAGGCAATTCTCTGCAGCACACACACATACATTCATTAATGTACACAGGGACTCATTATGGCACAATGTGAACAGCACTGGCAGCCCTGTCTTATGCCAGTCAGATAAAGCCCGTGTACGAATGGCAATAGGTGCTGCCTACAATCATATCTTCACTTCCACACACCCACCTACCCTCACGGTGCTTATCTGCCTTCAAGGGTGCAAAAGCTATCTTCCAGAGTAATACACGGTAAGTAACCAATTACACAAGAACAAGGAATTACAGAGAATCCATGGCAAACAAGGACTCAATAGCTGCACCTCAAGGCTTGTACAAAACGGATAAAGTCCCATTTATCCAAAAACAGATAAAGAAACTTCAAGAAATTACTGTGCAATTCATCCTGCTGGAGAAGCACAATCTGAGCACGCTGCAGTTCCTCACTTCATTCCAATACAACTTTGCAGGGTAAATGCATCCCCAAAGGGAGCTCTAGCTTGCAAWCCACCTGCCCTGCATAGCGCTGCTTGGGTGTGAGGGGAAAAATAAGCAGCAGTAGAGGCCCTTGCAGAAGCATTCCCCACATCACCACGGGAGAGGGCCAAGGATGCAGCAGTCACTCGTAAGCAATAGATGAAAGCAAAGGCAGCGCTGCCCTGCATTGGCGGGCRGGCGAGCACAGCACCGGGCAGCATCACGGAGGGTAACCTGGTCTCCCCAGCCCCAATAAGCATCGGTGTCYCGTCCCCCCAAAACTGCTTGGTCCTTCGGTCCTACTTGTTCTACTGGCAAGCTCCTTCAGAAGGCTCATGCCTAGGCTTCWTACCTGGGTGTCTTTTTCCTTATTGCCCATCCTCTTTATCCTTGTCTTGACATGCATCTTCCCACCACATCCTTGTCCCCCAGCCCCCTTCCACACACAGCCCCGACCCCCTCCCAGGCAGCGAGGCCCCACACGGAGCCCCAGCCCCTCACGCGCTCATTCCCACCACGGAGCATCTCCCCGTCTTGCACAGCCTCCTTCCCCAAACATCCTGGCCTTCCCACACCATCCCCRCCCTCATCCCCCATGCACAGCACCCTTTCCCTGCACACACAACCGCCTCTTTCCCCATAACCAGTTTCTATCCCCCAGCACCTCAGAGTGGTTGTTCCTCCCCACAGCTCCCTCTCCCCCGCGCCCCATCCTTGGGTCTGCAGCTCCTACCACRGCACCTGCCCCCCACACAGGGCCTTCAGGCCCCCAGTCCATCCCCAGGAGCCTCCCCGCTCGCCCAGGCTCCTGCAGCTCCCTGCTCCGCACCCCAGCGGGGCCCTGTCCGTGTCCCCATGTCCCCCCGTGCGCCGGCCCCGCAGCCCCCACGCGCGGCCCGCCCGCGCTCACCGTCCAGCGACACGAACTGCCCCACGGCGGAGGAGCCGCCGCCGCTGTTCTCCACGAACTGCACCTCGGAGACGATGATGTTGTCCTCGAGCACGGAGCCGCAGCCCGTGCACACGGCGTCGCCGCGCGCCGCGTCCACCTCGATGTCCGAGCAGCCGCAGGCGGCGCACACCCGCCCGCCCGGCATGGCGGCCCCTCTCGCCGAGACCGCCGCCCGCTTCAGTTCGGCTCGCTGCTGCCCGGCCCGGCGCGGCGCGGCCCGCGCGGCGCCCGCAGGCCTCGCTCGCCGGCACCGGCACGGGGACGGGCAGGGGAGGCGCCGGCCGCGGCCTCCTCGGCCTCTCGCGAGACTCGCGCCCGCCCGCGGCCCGCCCTCCGCGCCGCCATGGCGGCCGCGCCGCCCTCCCCGCCGGGGAGCCGACATGGCGGCAGCTCTACCCTGCCCGCCGCTGCGTCAGCCCTGCTTAGCGCCCTGATTTCTCCTCTTTCGTGCGAAAATTCTGTTCTCCCTGGTGATGAATTTGGGCTACGACACCTCTGTTTGTGTTTCGGACGTGTAATGTGCCCATTATGCTTCAAAAACGGATCAATTCGTGGATCAATGCGTAGATGGAGTCTAATTCCATCAYCCCATGATGGTAATAAACAGATAATGGTCTCGTTAAGGACCGTTAATGTCAATAARGCAGTTGGAGCTCTGTATGACAAAGATGATGCTGCGTTAACTTGCTTTGTGCTTTGTCGCCCTYGGTTATTAAAAAGCCGGTTTTCACCCCAGAAAGTCACTGCCCRTGGTACCTTAGTGCTGCAGATGGGAAGGGAACAGAGCACGTTTAGCAGCTGGGGGGTTGTACAGAGCTTTGCCTGCCAGAATTTGCAGTATACAAATACGCAAATATACAGTATACGCTAACAAATGCAGAAACAGGAGTAGTTTAAGTCCCTAAAAACTCATGACCATATCAGTCTTGCACCCAACAGCTCAGATGCAGCCAGGCTCTGCATTCAGATCCCCCAACCTCGCATGACGATGCGTAAGTGATGCAGAATGATTTGCTGTGATGATCCAAAGGCAAGACTGAATGATCCAAAGGCAGATTTTGGCACATACTAAAGCTACGTGGCRTCATGCAAGAACCTGAGCGTTTCTTCTGCGTGAGGTTATTTAATATACATATGAATTAATGTGTGTTCTGGAAAAGAAAAGGAAAATAGAAATAACAAGATGGAAAGATTGTGCCACTATATTCATAATTTGGCTTCTTTCACTATATTCATAATTTGGCTTCTTTTTTTCTCTTTCTGTTCTTATATTTTCGAGAATAAGGTTTTTTTTTTTTTTTTTTTTTTTTTTTTTTTTTCTTAATATTCCTCTTGAATCATCAGTTTATTTCCTTGCCAAAGTTCCTCCTGCTGCCCGTCTCCCACAGCAGCCATGGGTGATCTCACAAAGTTACACAGTGTAGTTATTGGTAGGGGAAAATTATGATCTTGACAGTCATAAATTTTGTGCAATAAAAAAAATGCACGAAGTAGAGGTTTTTCTTTCTCAGGAAAGCCTTTTGTCTASCAGCACATTCTAATTAAAAACTACCAAGCCAGATCACTTGCTATGCAGGGTGTCTCTGACGAAAGCTATCACGAACACAAGAAATCCCGCAGAAAGCAATTATGAAATGCCTTCCCATTAAAAATTTGTTTCCTAACGCCCTTTGGGTGGAGACTAATTCAGATATGATCCATGAGGACTTAATTTCGACAATCCATACAAACTAATCGTTGTTTCTGATTGTTCAAGTGCTACCTTCTTCCCTGGAACTTGGAACGAGTTGGGAGCCCAACAGCAGAGGGCCCTAGCAAGAGCATAACACACAGCAGCTCGGCAAGAAAGGCCGTTTAATGTACAGCTGAATATGGAAATRTGGTTTAGTTTTTATAAGGTGATGAAAGAAGGTGGGTGATAGTTCAGAAACCTGAAGTGCTTTGCCTCTTGTCTCCCCGCCCTATTAAACCATTCTTAAACTCCTTATTTTTTTCAAATGTTTCTTCTTTTGGCCCTTCTTTTCACCCCTATAAAMTCTTTGTCCTTTCTACTTGCAGGAAGCCTAACTAACCTCCTTTTCACCATTAAGAGTCACCCTGCTGAACAAATAAGCCATCGCTCAGCTCCCCATACTAACAAATAACAAACGTTCAATAAATTGCCTCAAGCARAAATCACACGCAGGACTGATTAAAAATTACATTGACAAAAGCTTTCGCTGGTTTTAGTTCAGAGGATAGGAGAACCTCTTCTCCATCTTACCTCCCCTCGCATTTTATACCTCTTGTTTTCTCTCCTATAGTGAGCAGGATGTCTGTTAACCCAGGCTGACCCATTTCCTTCCTGCTGTGTCTTCAGGAACCCTCCAATACAACCCACCCGTGGGTGTGCGTGAGTGACATTCGGCGCTGAGAGGAACTGCTCCCATTTGCTTGAGAACAAGACCATTTTCTAATACCGCTCCTGTGGGCATGGAAAGAATTCCAGTAGGCCGCACAAAGCCAGACGAGAGCACGAGGGAATCCCGCTCCTGCAAACGCCGAGCTGCATGGCAGGGTATACAGTCGAGCAAGCTGCTAACACATTCCCCTACTTCCACACGAGACGCATCCACTTCTATAAATATAATAATGTGAAGCAGATACGTAAGTATCAGATGACAGAAACCCCATAAACTGTGTCTTTCAATCACAGCTGAGCCTTGTGCTAACCCTTCCAACACCCAGCACGATAGGATATGTTTTCAGCTAAGGAAGTGGAGGCACAGAGTTGAATCTCTTGTTTTGGCCAGTTCCTGTGAGCATCCTCAGCTTGCGGGGCTTTCAGCTGGGCTCACTCTTTAAACCAGGCCTCAGAGCTTGCTGAAGTTTCCCAAGCAGCTGGAATATGCAGGTACTCTGGGTACAAAACACAACAGCTGAACAAGCCTTGTTTGGTTCTGGACAGTCAAAAATGGGGCATAAATTATGCATTCAACCTGCACAATTGTACACAAATTCTCTGGAGATGAAGTCAGAGGAGTATTAGATAGAGCGGGAACACAGGGCTCTGAAATGGATTAACCTTATAAGGTGATAGCAACTGGACACTTCTTTTTCTGTCCGTGCCAGTCCAAATGCATTTGGCCACACCAGCAATGAACRCGAGAGGGCACTCGAGGAAAATGAAATCACCGAGGAGCTGCAGGGCGCCCACAGGTTAGACCGATTTCTATCTGTGTCTTTGCTAATTATTTCCTGATATTGTGTTCTTGATGTTTATCAATAAATGATAAATTTAAAAAATGCTTTGGTATGAATTTTCTATTTTGGAAAAGAAAAACAAATCCAAGAAGAAAGTTCTTTTGTCATCTATGAAATCATCCACTTTAGCATACACCTGAATCTACCTGCGTGCAAACACATCTTTGCCTCCTGCTCCATCGGCAACGGAGCCTTCGTTCCTAAGCAAGCATCAGAGATACTGTGAGACTCCCCGTTACCCTCCCAGGATCCGAGTCCTTTGCAGGCCTTAGTATGCAAAGGCAGCTGAAAGCACAAACACCCTTCATTAGGAAATCCACAGAGATGTTAGTGGAGGGAAAGTCCAAGGGTACGGAGTACAAAAATCCAGGAGCCATCACGAGTTCAGGAACTCTCTCACCAGCAAGTTTCTGGAAGGTGTGGGAGCAATACTGCAGTCTGGCTGTTCTTAAGATTTCCTCCTCACACACTGCTTGAGGATGCTTGGCTGATCAGTAAGTGCTTTGAGGAAGGATGTGAAGAAAGGTAAATATAGATGCACCCTCCTAGTTTCTAGCAATCTGCAGTTTAAGGATGTCCTCAGCTAAAGGCTAATGCAAATTAGGAAACTTTTTATCTGTTTAATCTCTTTTTGAATTATTTTTGCTTTCAACGGCCACAACATCCTGTGGCTTTGGGTTCATCACTGTTTAGTTTTATATCAGGTGAAAAAAAAGATTTTTAAATGTGTAAATGTTTAATTTAATAACCCTAAGTTCTTGTGCTGTAAGGAGAATTGCTCCTTCTCACCTTCTTCATGTCAGGATTTTAAATGCCTCTAAAGCTTCTCTTAAACAGGATCACTTCACAAGATCAGCTCTTAGTCCAGCTAAGCTAGTGCAGAGCTAACCAGCCATAGCCTGAAAGGGAAAAACAAAAACAAATCTGTTAGGGCAGTCATTCAAGAGAAAAGCTCCTTTTTAAGAAGGAACTGGCTATTTTGCTTTCATTGAACAACTGCAGATCTCCATCACTTTGGGATGTGAGCACAGGAAAACATTCCTGTGAAAATACAACCCTGCATGCCTGCAGTTCTTGTATTCTGAGAGGTTTTGGTCAACTATCAATGAATTCATCAGTTGGCATCAGAGAACCCCTCCTGTCAGCTAATTGCCTCTCCAGCAGCTGTCTGTGCACTTGGAAACTGGACTGGTTTTAAGTGCCACTTTTGTGGCATTAAGGAGTGAGTTTTTCAGGGAACATACATTTTCTATGTAGACTGAAAATGAGGCTTTACCTAAATGTTAATGGTCATGTATAGAGCAATGGTAATTTGTTCTAAAAGGAAAAAAAAAAAAAGGGGGGGTACATTAGCAATACTGGATTGGTCTGCATATACAAACACAGAGGCACTCTGCATGTCTGACTGATAGTTTGAATTTTTTTGGAAAAACGTGGAATTGGAATTATGTGCCTAAAGCTCATGCCAGCAGGCAGAAAGCTGTAGAAGCCCATCAAAAAGTAAATATGAAACTCCTGGAGTTTTGAAAAGATTTGGGGAACTAATTACGCTTTAGTGGACTATCTTCTTAGCATTAAGGTAATCCAATGCAGTTAACATTTAATGCTATAAACTATGATAGCCAACCAGTGACAAATAGGATTACAAGGAAAGATAATCACTTAAACAGGGGTTAGCAGCTACCTTGGACCAGGATGAAAAACATCTTGCTGTCACCAGGTGGTATTAATAGTCCAAACTCTATGGGCATTTCTGAGGCAGGAGGCTGCTCTAACCGGGATGACTGTGCGAGCATCAATGACCAAAACACCACTCAGCTGTTAAATGTCTCTCTCTCCACGTCTGAAGTGAATATCTATGTGTGACAATGTCACAACTGCTTTGGCCAAAGCTGAGGTTTG